CGAGGCCTCAAACCGTGATCGATGCGCACGGATGGTAAATAAGCTTACCAGAATAATATAGAAAACAATCAAGCTTGATTTGCTTTAGAATTTTGGTACAAAGTATATCATGCTTAACGATGGGTCTCCAATATTCTTCTGCTTAAGTAACGGTCCCATAGTAATGAGGAGTCGAGTCTACATTATTCATCATAATTGTCTCGTCTTGAATATGCCGGTGCAGAAGTAAATGTTCCTGATACATGACCGTTGCTCTTCTTCGGATGGTTCCAGGTCAAATGTCTATCCCATTATTCAACCACCCAATAAATGTAAATATGATCTTGCGGGTTCCCCTTGTCACCTAAAATAGAAAAGTAAATATTACACATTTAGCTATACGCCTATACAATAATTACACATTATGATTCACATAAGTCTTTGAAGTACTCCGTAACACTTGATCGTATATATTTTTCATTTGAAAAGAGGGAAAATGGTACTTTTTTCCCCTGAATTATTTACTTATAGCACATTTTCCCTTATGTTATTTATATAATTGCTTTATCTCCTCAATTATTTTTGAAGTGACTATTTCTTCCATTCTTAGTTAAATAAATGTTTGGGCTGTTAAAGTTAAGGGTAAAAATGGGCAATTTATATCCTGCACCAGGGCGCGCATTACATTGTGCACCCCTGATGCAAAACGCCGTTGTTTTAGTTTTTTTTTTTTTTTGAAATTTCGCTACCCTGTATTGGCGGTTAATTTTCTTTAAAAAAAATCTCACGTTCAAAAATGTACATAATTTTATACTAGAATACACATAATTGTATACATGAATGTACATAATTGTATAACAAAATACACATACTTTTTTTTAAAAGATAATACATATAATCTAACATAATAAATGATATACATAAACTTTTAACATAATAAACATCAACTCTTAACATAATACACATAAATTTCCTGTTTTGGATGTACATAATTGTATAAAAAAGATGTACATGATTGTATAAAAAATGTACATAATTGTATAAACAAATACACATAATTTATAAACAAATACACATAATCGCGTCAATTCCCTACATAACTTATCAAAACGACGTCGTTTTGGGAGGCGCGAGGTGCATAATGCTATGCGCGCCGTGGTGCAGGGTATAACGATTGGTAAAAATGACATTTCAGTTATTTTTTTTTAATTTTTTTTTATTTTTTTTTTATTGGAGGCCTTTCCGTAGCTTCTCCAACCCATAATGTGAAGAAATGAGTCCTTCTTTCCAAAAGGTTTCCATAGCACACAATTACTAAGAAAATTATTTTTAAAAAATTATTTGAGTTTATTTTTGGTGGTGTAGCGTGAGTTTTGGATGTCGAGTAGTTATCCATCCATTCATTAATGAGAAGTAAAAATGATAAAGTCTCATCCTAAACAACTCATTGAGTCATAACCATAAGTTAATCCACAAATGTTGGATAGCCTTCAAATTAATTGACCAAATCCACATATTAACTATCCTTTGATCTCCACTAACACTATAAATAACAATCCCCACACCTCTCAACAATCACCCACCAAAAACACTACAAAGCAAGTCAAGAAATAGAACAGAAAAATATATATATATAAAGAAATGGCTGCCAATCAAAAGCTTATTACAGTGTTTTTTATGTTCATGGTTGTCTTCTCCTCTGTGCATGATGTTTATGTTTATGCAGACCCTCTTCTATTTGGCGCACTCAAGGTTGAAGACAACATAAAGCCTGCTCCGGTTGATGCTAATACTTTTCATGCAAACAACATAAAGCCTACTCCGCTTGAGGCTAATGCTCATCATTCAAACAAGGCGAAGGCAGACGCCGACATATTTGGGGAGTGGTGACCAACCAGACATAATTAAGGTAACATGGACAATAAGAGCAACCAGACACTAAAGAGTAGCTCCCAAGATCATTTGGCATGCGTGGTTGTGAAAAAATAATAAAGTAATGGAATGTAATTCATTCTTACATTTTGAATAATATAATATATATTCTTTTTTTTGTTTCAACACCAAATGTAGTATTTGTACGAATAATTAATGAAATTTGATATTCACATTGCATTTTAATTTGATTTGTTGCCTTCAACTTCTTAATTACCTAATGCATGCATGCGTGCTCAATCTTTTACCGCAAAATTTGTGTATGAAACAAATACGAAATTACATATAACATCGCACATATAATGTATGTCGGCTTTATGTCAAATAAATTAAGACGTTGTATATGAATTATTTAAAAGAATACGCTATTTATACAACGTTAGTTATATACACATGATTTACACTCTTTGATTTATGAGAAAAAGTCGCTACCAAAGTTCACCATGGGTGAAGCGTTTCAAATTAATCGAATCAAATTTTAAATCGATTAATTAAAATATTTTAGAAAAATTAAAAATCCTTAAAATTTATAAAAGAAAATTTTCAGTTCATAAATTTTCATCACAAAATAGTTATTATATCAATATATAAAAGAAAATAATTATTATTGAAGAATTAGTCAAACGGTATGATTTATGAATTATAAAAAACTAAAGCATAGATATATATGTACAGGCAATTCGGTTATTCTAACTAAATTAACTGTTAATCAAAATTTTTAAAAAATATTAACCAAACTAAAATATTTCATTTAAAAAATTGTAAATAGTTACCTAAATGTTTTGATTCGATCGTGGTAACCAAAATTTCACTGAACTATGCACACTCCTAGTTAGTAGTATATATTTTGCAACAATTACTATGAAAATTAAATATTTTTACTTTTAAAATTTAATTTTGGTGGCGTTGCTTGTGTTTTGGATGTCTAATGGTTATCCATTCATTAAATATTCTTCCAAAAGGTTGAACCCCAACCCTAAGAACTCCTCACATCCGGATCCGACAGAGTATTTGGGAAGATGTAATTCACTAAGGGAAAAATTGTAATTTATGCCCCTCACAAATATGTCAATTATCAATGTTACCCCTGAATTATTAGTGGGGTAAATGTTGCCCCTCAATTTTCAAAACGTGACATATATTGCCCCTCCCCTGAATTATTAGTGATGTAAATGTGGTTACCCGTCGTCTTTCTTGTTCGAAGACCACCCTCAATTTTTCTTTCTTTGATTGTTCTCCTTTTGTCGACAACAATTTTTCTCCTTCTTCATATTAGAGGAGGGGCAATATATGTCACATTTTGAAAATTGAGGGGCAACATTTACACCATTGATAACTCAGGGGTGACATTGATAATTGACATATTTGTGAGGGGCATAAATTACAATTTTCCCTTCATTAAATATTAATCGCAGGTGCAGTGGAGGCATTTGAATAGATATATAAGAAGTCCAATTAAAATATTGGCTTTAATTTGCCAAGATATTTACAAGTTCAAAGTTTTGTTCTAATAAACTCAATATTGTTACAATATTTTCATAAATATGTTGCAAAATCAATATGAATTATTAACAAAAAAAAAAAAAAAAAAATCCTATAAACATCCCATCACTGCTTATTTCCTCAAATTATCTACTTTGGAAGACTCCACTTCCCTTTCTGGATGAGTTTTCCATTGTAGGCGAACTTCGAATGAGTACTGTTCCATTGTAGTCAATCCTGTGGCCAAAACCATCAGGATTTTTTTTATTTTGTTCATGCTCAGTCTCTGTTCGATGAAAGTTTTGCATGCTGCAGCCATGTCCCTAGATATACTTTAAATCAGTATAAAACTAGCTAGTAAGGATATATGTTCTATGTCCTATTTGCTTGTTTCATACACAAAAATTTTGGGGTAAAAGATTGAGCATATATGCATTAGGTAATTAAGAAGTTCAAGATAACAAATCAAATTAAAATGCAATGGGAATATAAAATTTCATTAATGATTCGTACAAATATTATATTCGGTGGTGAAACAAAAAAATATATTATATTATATTGTACAAAATGTAAGATTTGAATTACATTCCATTACTTTATTATTTTTTCACAACCATGCCCAATGATATTGGGAGTTTTTACCAAACAGGACCGTTATCTTTTCTACTTCTCATTAATGAATGAATAATCATTCGACATCCAAAACTCAACAACACCACCAAAAATAAACAAAACTAATTAAAAAATTAATTTTCTCAGTAATTGGTGTATTATATATATATATATATATATATATATATATATATATATATATATAGACTGAGGTGAAAACCAATCTCCCAATGAGCCCATCAGAAGTTGAGAACCAACTAACTTTAGTAACAAAATATTCTACTAACTATTTATTATTCTTAAGTTGTTAACTTACTTATTGATTTTTTATAAGGAAGGTCTTAGGTTCGGACCTCATCCCAATTAGAGTTGGTATAGTTGTTGAACATATAATATGAACTAGTTATGATACGCGCATTGCACGAATAGTCCAATGCCCAATGTGTGTTTTTTTTTTTTTTTTTTTTTTTTTTTTTTTGAAGAAAGGAATTAATTCATTAAGTCAAAAGAAAGACAACCCAATAGAAACAGAGGAGGATTTTCCAACCACTCCTCACAATCTGACATAGAAAGGGCCTCCTGGGCTACAACATGGGCAGACCGATTCGCAAATCGTTTCACAAAAAAAAGAAGTTTACATCATGTATCGAGGATGCAACTTCCTTCACATCATCAATAATAAAACCAAAAGCAGAAGTAAAATGGTCTGAAAGCAAAGCATTAACAACTAATTGAGAGTCTGTTTCTACATCAACGTCACTAATTTCCGTTCCCTTCATCCAACTTAGAGCCTCACGTACACACACTGCCTCAGCCTCTGCTATTGTATATTGTCCACTCAATTGAACACCCATCAACGTCACTAATTTCCGTTCCCTTCATCCAACTTAGAGCCTCACGTACACACACTGCCTCCTCTGCTATTGTATATTGTCCACTCAATTGAACACCCCTAGCAGCCAAGAAACAACCCCAATCATCCATCAACACCCAACCTAACCCCAATCATCCATCAACACCCAACCTAACCCCATGATATTATGAGAAGCATCGAAAGCAGCATCACAATTAAGCTTAATACGACCAGAAGTAGGTGGGTTCCACTTTTCCTTATATACAGTAGATGTCACATTATTCTGGTGTTTCATAGTCTCATGCGCAACCTGCCAATTTGATAGGTAAGATATAGCGAATTGAGTGGTAGAATTAAAAGAAAATGGAGTCCCGTTCCACACCTTCTCATTTCTATTATTCCATACACTCCAACATAAAATGGCAAACTTACATTTCACCTCCCTGCTAAGATTTTCAAGCTGCTCAAAGAACCAATCAACAAGTTCCCTGCCACCTTGACTCGACATTGATAGCCCCATCGTAGACAACATGCATGCGACTTGATGGCAATCCATGAACATATGCTTGGCTGACTCTAACACCTGCCCACACATGTGACACAAGATTGCACAATTAACTTGCTTTGTCAATAACGCATCTCGCGTTGGAAGGACCGAATTTGTGAGCTGCCAGCAAAATAATTTCACTTTCGGAGGGACTCTCATATTCCATATGGCACTCCATTTTCTATGATGTTGGAACTCTCCTACAAGCAACCGGTAACAAGACTTGACAGAATATTCGCCCTTGGGCTCATCATACCGTACCCACACGTCTGGAGGAAGACGCACACTTACAGGGATATTAAGGATGATATCTGAGTCCTTTACATTGAAAACATCCCTGACACATTCTTCATCCCACCCTGCCTTATGCTCATTGAACAATGAAGATACCGGAGCATTAAACATTGTTGAATGCAAAATATACTTTTAAATTAGTGTTTCAAAATTTATTAAAATATTATTCGGTATTCGGGCGTATATATCAACACAAGATTATCAATTTTTTCTTAAAAGTAAATATTCCAAGAAAGCATAAATAGGACCTGCGAAGAAAATGTTGGATTAACTGGTGCAATAACAATTTTAGAGGGAAACATCCTCACTGGATAGTACCCTAAGCATAGTTTTTGCAATACAAAACCCTATTATTAATTGTAGTGATACATGCTTCCTCTTATTGTCACTTCCGTTGGAAATGAACTCTTGATTTGATATAGTCTCCTAGTGTGCTTCAGTGCAATAATAGTGCCTTGGCGCAATGCACCTTCAAAAACATAACCGAATCCTCCTTCTCCAAAAAGACAATGGTAATAGGCACAGTTTCTATCCGTAGGTGTTGAATATATATTGTAAGTTAGGTGTATCGTATCATCAATGCCCAATGCGTGATTCTAATTGAATGATCAAAGTTCATATTAAATTTTATATTGTATTTTTATTTTTGAAAACAACCATCAAAGCAAACTATTATTGCAAAATCACGAATACAATGGTGGATATTTGCGTCCCACACCTCCCAACCAGTATACGAGCACATTGGCTGTTATATTGTATTTTTTAATACATTAACATATTCATAGTATATGTTTAACAATTATGTCAATTTTGATTGTGATGAGGTTCGAACCTAAGACTTTTCTTCTAAAAATCAAAGAGCAAGTTAAAGAATAATAAATATCTAACACAATGCAAGGTTATTTAGGAAAAGTAAATGATATAATAGAGGGTAAGTATGAAAATAATAAAAATTACTAAAATCAAAATAATAGGAACTATTCGTTTCAACAAACAATTACACCAACATTTTTTAGTTTTCGTTAGGGGCCTAACATTTTTTTAGTTTCCGTGCTCTTATTATTAGGTTTGTAGGTGTAGATGTAGATTATTAGGTTTGTAAATATGTTAGAGTGTATTAAAAGATGTAATATAAAATTTAAAATGAATTTTGGTCAATTAATTAGCTAGACTATATACATAGCATTTCAAAATTGAGTATCAAATAATATTGCAAAAAATTAAAGGAACCTTGAAAATTATTTTCTTGCATTTAAAAAAAAAAACAAATATAGGTTAGTTTTTTTTTCCTTTTTTTTCATTTAATTAATCTTATTTTGATTATTCTAAAAAAGACTCATTAATAATTTATAATTGTACATTTCTTTAAAATATTGTACTATTTTTTGTAGGACAACATTTTTCTTAAATCATTAAAGTTTTACACAAATTGTACTTTTACCCATCCCTCCTAATCTCTCTCTTGACATGCACTTTTCGTTTGATAAATTAGCCTTTGATAATAAATTAGCGGGTCCAATTCATAAAAATGACAATTTTATAAATATCAGTACAAGGGAATCAACTTTTCATTTGATGAATTAGTGGGTCCAATTCATAAAAATGACAACTTTATCAAGGGAATCAACTTAGGATTTCATGTATTTATTTATTTAATTTAACAAAACTAAACAGACCAAATTAATTCTTTTTACAAATTAACACCAGTAACTCAATTACACATGAGACACTACAAACAAAAAAAGAAGTGGACAAGCAAGGAAGACAATGACAAACCGATCGAAAAGCGAATTAACAAAACTACTACTTTATACCATACTACCTATAATAAGTATTTAGCAATGTCAACTATATATATTGAACTTGGGGTTGGGGATTCAACATTTTGGAAGGAACTATATATATATATATATATATATATATATATATATATATATATATATATATATTGAACTTCTCTTAAATAATCTTGCATTGATATACTTTAAATTACTTAATTAAATATAAACGGTGGGCATTAAATCAATGTAAAACTAGCTAATAAGGATATAAGGGAGAAATTAAATATTTCTATAGTCTATTTGTTCGTTCCATACACAAAAATTTTGGGGTAAAAGATTGAGCATATATGCATTAGGTAATTAAGAAGTTGAAGGTAACAAATCAAATTAAAATGCAATGGGAATATCAAATTTCATTAATGATCCGTAGGAATATTATATTTGTTGGTGAAACAAAAAAAAAATATATTATATTGTAAAAAATAAGATTTGAATCACTCCATTACTCTATTATTTTCTCACAGACCAAGCCCAATGATTTTGGGAGTTACTCTTTAGTATCTGGTTGTCCTTATTGCATGCCCACATGTCGCTTAATGTTTGAAAAGTCTGAATTATATGTCTGGTTAGTTGGTCACCAATCCCCAAATATGTCGGAGTCTGCCTTCGTCTTGTTTGCATGAAAAGCACGAGCACCAATGGATTTAATAGTGGTGGATTTATCAAAAACCACCATTAATTTCCTCGAATGAAATTGAATAGGCTTTACGTTTTCTTCAATCTTCTTTAACCAACCGCCAAATATATCAGAGTCTGCGTAAACATAAGGTTTTTAGGAGTATTACTACCCGCTGAACTCAGATCAATGAATGTTAACAAGACAAAATTACATGCACTTATAGGTGAAAGTAGGTGCACATATAGTTATAAGTAGTTGCACCTATAGTTATAAATAGTTGCACATATAGTTATAAGCACACCCAGGTGCATGAATGGTTGCGGAAAGTGAATGCTAACAAGGCAAAATTACATGCATTTATAGGTGAAAATAGGTGCACTTATAAGAGATTTTACTTGCACTTCGATGTTCAATTATTTACGAAAATGCCACCGCGTTTTTTTTTAAGTTATTAGATCTGGACACGTGTCACGCGCTGATTCGTTCGCATTTCCTTCCTGGGCACTTATTCGCACCTGAGTGCGTCCCTATATATATATATATATATATATATATATATATATATATATATATATATATATATATTGTAAGTATTTTCCCTGTATACAATATATAATATATTGTATTATTTGGTGGTTGTGGTGCAAGTAGGAGATTGAGTCAATTAGTGACTTAATCTGTTAGGCAACTCAGGATATTCAGTTTAGGATTAACTGAATATCTGCCTACATTGATGGCATGTAGGCTTCTAAACAAAACAGTTCTCCCACAGCTCCCGTGTGTGTTTAGTATACACGCACCATCGAGTATTCGGGAGAGAAGTGGTAGAGAAATACTAACCTTTATTCTGCAGGTTTACCATCTCGTGGCAATACCAACGACTATGGCTGGGGATATTCGGGCGATCCTAAAGCTTTCGATGTAACGAGACAGGTTACTCGTTTACTATAGTTTATGTTAGCCTTAATATTATTATCTAACACACACACACACACACACACACACACACACACACACACACACACACACACACACACACACACACACACACACACACACACACACACACACACACACACACACACACACACACACACACACACACACACACATATATATATATATATATATATATATATATATATATATATATATATATATATATATATATATATATATATATATATAGACTTGCACTCGGGTGCGAACGACTCGCCCAGGCGCGAAATAGGAATGGATTCTGTTCGTCCACGTGTCCAGATCTAATGGATGAGAAACACTGATTTTTTAAAAAAATGCGGTGGCATTTTCGTAAATAATTGAACATCGAAGTGCAAGTAAAATGTATTACAAGTGCATGTAAAATGTATTATAGGTGCAAGTAAAAATTTACACTGAGCATCAATACTTAGTTGCACTTATAGTTCTAAGTAGTTGCACCTATAGTTCTAAGTAGTTGCACACATAGGTATAAGTAGTTGCATCTAGGTGTATGAATGTTTGCGAGTGGTTTTCAGGAGTATTACTACCCGCTGAACTCAGATCAATGAATGTTAACAAGGCAAAATTACATGCACTCATAGGTGAAAGTAGTTGCACCTATAGTTATAAGTAGTTGCACCTATAGTTATAAATAGTTGCATATATAGTTATAAGCACATCCAGGTGCATGAATGGTTGCGGAAAGTGAATGCTAACAAGGCAAAATTACATGCACTTATAGGTGAAAATAGGTGCACTTATAAGAGATTTTACTTGCACTTCGATGTTCAATTATTTACGAAAATGCCACCGCGTTTTTTTTTAAGTTATTAGATCTGGACACGTGTCGTGCGCTGATTCGTTCGCATTTCCTTCCTGGGCACTTATTCGCACCTGAGTGCGTCCCTATATATATATATATATATATATATATATATATATAAAAGAAGAGCTACAGTCACGTGAACCTTCCCATCCTTTCCTGTTCATAATAACGCTATTGCCATTATTATTATTATTATTATTATTATTATTATTATTATTATTAGCAATCAACCTCAACCTTGCGATCGAGGCTTGGTCGGCCGGAGGCATCAGATACGCAGAAAGGGAAGTGCGAAATTATGCAATCATTCCCGTGTGTTCGTCAAATTGCATGCTTCAGAACCCCCAAGTCAAGGCATATGTTAATGGGAATTTAGGAATTTCACTTGCATGCATATAGAAAGGGGTTGTAAACTCTAAAAGACCATATTTCAAGGAAATTAAATTTTCAGTGGCAAAGGAATCCAACAGCAGCATATTGTTTTGGTTTTGGCAATTTAATTCCGCAACATCAATTTCGTTTCCAAGAGGAGAGCTGTAACTACAAAGATATAGGAAATAATTACCAAAAGTTTATCGGACAGGAACAAAGAATCACTTGAGATTCAGCCAGAAAAAGTTAATGGCATGAAAGAAGACTCTTTATAGTCCTAAAGATTGCACTCATAGTTGTACTCTTTTTCCCTTAGCTAAGTTTTTTCCCTACTAGGTTTTTCATAGTCTAAGGTTTTTAACGAGGCAACTAGCGTAATCTGGGCCCCCTACACTCAGCTCCGGCTTAGGGGCTCACCATGGACCGCACAGTTTAACGGTTGCATTCAAAAGGAACACCACCTAGAAGACTT